CACGAGGTTGTGTGGTGCGGGGCAGTCACAAGCCTGCAGGCAGGGAGAGGTAAGCCTCTGCCGTGGTTTCCAGCTGTCTCGGAAGCCTAGCGGCCAAGTCTGGATGCAGGTGCCACCATCTGTGAGCAGTGTGACCTCAGTCTGCCACTTAACCTCTCCGCGTCCCTTTCCTGCCTATAAAACAGGGCAATCCTAGTGCCCTCTCAAGATGGGGGCACTTGAGGTGACTTAGGCCAGGATTTGCCACGAGGGAGCACAGCGAGAGTGCTGGCTTTTGGCATCATTAGGCACTGGGTCTGCTTTGAGAGGGGCCTAGGAACGGAACCTGACCCGGGTGAGCTGGGCAACCTGTGGGAAGCAGGGGACTGAGGCCTGGCTGTGCGCAGCCAATGAGGGCCACGTTCTGAGTCTTGCCATGCCACCTGTGCAGGCTTCAACACTGTGGTGCTCCTGAAGGGCACTCCGCCACCACCTCCACCAGGTTTGGTGCCTCCCATCAGCAAACCGCCCCCTGGCTTCTCTGGCCTCCTGCCCAGCCCCCACTCGGCCTGCGTCCCCAGTACTACCACCACCACGAAAGCGTAAGTGTGGGTGGGCCACCCGGTCTCACGCTCCTGGGGACCGGGGGCGAGTGCCTTCACCTTGGGCCACCCCTCCCCATCTCTCGACCCCCAAACCCAGGCTGACCCCTGCGCCACGGGCCTACTTGGTCCCTGAGAACTTCCGGGAGAGGAACCTGCAGCTCATCCAGTCCATCAAGGACTTCCTGCAGAGTGATGAGGCCCGCTTCAGCAAGTTCAAGAGCCACTCGGGGGAGTTCAGACAGGTCAGGCGGGCGGGAGTATGGGGGGCCAGGCTGACCAGTTGGGGCCCAGGCCTGGGCCAGGTATGACTGGGTCTGGCTCTGGGTGGCAGGGCGTGATCTCCGCAGCCCATTATTACAAGAGCTGCCGGGACCTGCTCGGGGAGAACTTCCAGAAGATCTTCAACGAGCTGCTGGTGCTCCTGCCCGACACGATCAAGCAGCAGGAGCTGCTGTCCGCACACACAGACTTCCAAGGCCGCGAGAGGCCTCCCGGCACCAAGGCCAAGAAGAACAAGAAGAGCGCATGGCAGACCAGCACCCGGCAGGCGGGCCTGGACTGCTGCGTGTGCCCCACCTGCCAGCAGGTGCTCGCGCATGGCGACGTCAGCAGCCACCAGGCGCTGCACGCTGCTCGGGACGACGACTTCCCCTCCCTACAAGCCATTGCCAGGATCCTCACGTAGCTCCCACCAGTGTGGGCAGAAGCTGCCACACCCATGAGCCTCCTTTCTCCTTCCTCCTCCTCCTGGGCTGCCAGGCAGCCAGGTAAGGCCCTGGTGAGGCCGCCTGCTCAGGCTCCTGGCCCGGCCACCCTGCCCTGCCAGCATACCGTCATGCAGGAGTCCATTTGGTTTCCTCCTGGGAACTGGGCAGAGACCCCTGCCTCAGCAGTGGGCCGGTGTTGGTTTGTACTCTCATGCTTTTGGAAGGTGCCAGGGGACGGAAGGGCCAGGATGCCAGGACCTGTCCATGATGTCAGAGCCAGTGGCCCCAGAGGCCTGATCCGGGACCTCCTCAGCCTGAGGGCAGTAGCACCGCGGCCCTCGAGCTGGAAGCTGTGGGTCCACTGGCGCTGGAGTCAGATGTTGAGTGTGTTGTGTAAACAGTTGACTGTTTCGTGATTCAAGAATGTTCAGGATTAAAAGCAGAGACGAAATTGTGCTACTTGAAGTTGAATCTTTTTACAAAACAAGCTGAATCTGGGATCTCAAATTGCCTCTGACCTTTTATAAGTTTATCTTCAAATAAATTTATTTTGCAGTAATGCACAGAGCTGGTGTTCTGAGCTTCTCTGCCTTCTGAGGTCACCCTGCAGCCAGGGGGACTCTGAGAGTTGTCAGACGCTACAGCTCGGCGGTTGGCCAGTGTGCAATAGGGTGGAGGAAGGCCTGTGAGGAGAGCTGGCCAGTGGGGCTTTGCTCACAGGAAGCTTTTCAGCAGCCAGCCGTGGGCCCGGGTCCTGGAGGTCTGGCACTGCCCAAGCCTTCCAGGAATAGACACAGCCATGCTTGAGCTATGCTTGTGCACCAAGTAAAACTATCCTTCCAGAATGTGGGAGTCATACAGACTCATGGTCTACATCCGTAGACTGGTGAAAGAGCTACTAAACTCCAACAAGAACAATTTAGAAACACTGGAGGGCATATCTGAAATACTGTAAGAAAATAATTTGTTTAATTATTTGGATCTAGTATTTTGGGAGACCAAACACATTGAAATCATAAGTCATATGTCGCTTAAGGACAGGAATACATCCTAAGAGACATGTCGTTAGGCGATTCCGTCATTGTGCGAACATCACAGAGTGCGCTTACACAACCTAGATGGCTCAGCCCACCACACACCCAGGCTCTATGGTGCTGATCTTATGGGACCACCGTCGTTTATGCGGTCCGTTGTTGACTGAAACGTCGTTATGCAGCGCGTGACAAAATAGACATAGCCACATAAGGCAAATGAAATGTCCTTAGATGAGAAAAAACAGATGTCTTTCTAGAAGAAGCAGAATAGGGTAACCATGGTGATGAAGGGGCCAGGCCAGAGCTGCACGGCTGCCTTGGCACTGCATGCCCAAAGCTGAGGATTGGACGGTGCTGCCTGCCTGCCTGCAGCTGGGTCTGGAGCATGTCCCTGGGTGATGGCCGTGCTCAGGGCCCACTAGAAGACGAGAGTCTTCACCCTCTTCACCCTCCATCGGGCTGCACAGAGGCCACCTGTATTCCTCACCATACACAATAAGCCCCTCATAGCTGATGCCGTCTTTGCAGATCTGAGCACAACCAACCCCACAGAACGGTAATCTGGAAAATGGGATATCTCATTAACGACACTGAAAATAGCTATTCCTAAAGAAGCAAGAACCATAATAATAGGCAACACTTAAAACAGCGCTTCTTGTGTGACAAGTGCTGCTCTGAGTCTTTCCTCGTGTTAACATTAACCTTCACCCCCCACCATGTGATAGGAACTATTCTCCTCCTTTTACAGAAGGGGAACCTGAGGCAGAGACAAGACTATCCCAAGATGACCAAGCTTCAACGTGGCAAAGCTAGCATCCAGCTGCACAGATGGTTCTTAACTGTGCTTCACTCAACCAGGAGATATATTAACCAATTAGAAATCTTAGAAAGAAAAAGTGTGATAAAAATTCCAATAGATGGGTTCAAAAGTCAACAAGAGCAAGCTGGGGAAATCAGGGGAGTCGGCTGTGGAATGTGGATCTGGAAGCTGCATGGTACCCCTGATGGGGGTCCCAGGAGCAGAAGGTGGTGAGAGCAGGGGAACATGTGGAGAAATTCAGACTGCTTTTCCCAGCGCTGAAGAAAGACAGACAAGCACTGAGCAGGATAAGTTTTTAAAAAGCCACATCTAGATACAACAGAACTTTTTTTTTTGTGAGGAAGATCAGCCCTAAGCTAACATTCATGCCAATCCTCCTCTTTTTGCTGAGGAAGACTGGTCCTGAGCTAACATCCGTGCCCATCTACCTCCACTTTATGTGGGATGCCGCCACAGCATGGCCTGACAAGTGGTACGTCGGTGCGCGCCAGTAAGCCGAACCCTGGCTGCCAGCAGTGCAGCGCATGCACTTAACCGCTATGCCACGGGGCCAGCCCCCACAACAGGACTTAAAGAGAAAAAAGTCCTAAAATTATTACCAAAAAAAAAAAACAGATCATCTACAAAGGATTGCAAATCATACTGTGATCACCAGTCTCATCAGCAGTACAGGACCCTAAAAGATAATAGAGAAATAGCTTCAAAGTTCTAAGGAAAACTGTCTTGCAAGAACGTGGGAGTAGGCCGGCCTCGTGGCTTAGCGGTTAAGTGCGTGCGCTCCACTGCTGGTGGCCTGGGTTCGGATCCCAGGCGTGCACCAAGGCACCGCTTCTCCGGCCATGCTGAAGCTGAGTCCCACATACAGCAACTAGAAGAATGTGCAGCTATGACACACAACTATCTACTGGGGCTTTGGGGGGAAAAAAAAAAAAAAATAAAATCTTTAAAAAAAAAAAAAAAAGAACGTGGGAGTAATACAAAGACTCAAGGTTTACGTCCACAGACTGATGAAAGAACTACTAAAGATACGCTCCGACAAGAAGAAATACTTAGTACTCCTGGTATTATAAAAAGGATAAGAGATAGGGGTCTTCCCCAGCATTTCAGAGAGCCTGCTCTGAGCAGCCCAGTTCTAGACCAGCATGATGTGTGGTGGGGGCTGTGGACCTGGGGCTCCCAGAATGTGGGTATCAGCCTGGCGTCCGCCTCCCTGCACTGTCCTAGATTCTGAGCCCTGTGTCTTTCAGATCAAAACCCCTGATACCTGGAGGGGCAGGGGTAGAAATGATTCCAAGAGCATCTGGGCCACAGTAAACTCATTTACAGTCTTTATTGTAAAGAAGTTGCAGTTAGAACATGGGACACTGAAAATACACAATCACAGATTGTTCTTTCAGAAGAGGAAAGGAGAGATCCATATATACAAAAATTGTAAACATGTTCACTTAAATATCCACACATAATTAGTCTATGCTACAATGTACAGGGTTGCCACTCAACTGCAACTCCAGAGGGAGGCGTCTGTAAGAATGAAATGTGGCAACCGCATTTGGTATTGACATAATGTGAAAAGCCAGCTTTGAGCAATGCATGAGTAGTCAGCTACGCAGAGGAACCCCAACCTTGGGCTGGGCCTTAAGATGGGGTGCAGGGTGGGGAGTTGAGGGACTGGTCCAGGAAGCCAACATAAAGGGGCTTGCACGGAATGGCCATCTCTGGGGCACTGTGGGCAGATGGAGCCTCTAGGCCACTCTCCTGTGAGGGGCTTGTCTTGCCAGGCACCCAGGTGTCCTAAGCCTCCCTTAGGCAAGGGAGGTTTTACTGAAGGGCTGGTGCCCAGGCCTATAGGCATGTTGTGCCTTCCTGGCCAGAACTGCTCACACCTGGGCAGGGGCCTGGGCCAAGGCAGGTAGGGGCGGGAACAGGGGCCACAGACAGAGGGGCTGCTTGTGGGAGACTAGGAGGTGAAACCTGAAGACTTGATCACAATCACAACATTGACAGACCCAGACTACTCTGAGCCTGTGAGAGGGAATGGAGGGAGGCTCCAGACAGAGCACGTGGCCCTACAGGTGAGCCACCACGACAGGAGCAAGGACCGTCACTACCCACAGGGACACAGGATGGGGAACAGTGGCCATGTTCCCCAGGCCAAGGGGTGGGGGTGAGGGCAAAGGCAGCTCCTGCACCTGGCCATGGAGGACCACAGGATCCCTGACCCCAGAGTGAACACATGAGCCCCAGGTTGGCTGGCTCATGAGAGGACCTGCCCAAGCTGGTCCACTAGAGGCTAGAGGACACACACCCAGGGTTGTGCTGTCCCCTCCTCAGGACCTCCGGCCCAGGGCCGGGGACTAAGGGGACGCGGAACTTGCGGAGGCAGCCCAGGCACCCTGGGGGCTACCCTCTCTTGGACCCAGATGGCCCATAGTGGCCATCCCCTCTGTCCCTGGCACTGGGCCAGGAGGACCCAAGGGAGGTCCCAGGAGATTTTGGGCCCTGCATTGGTGGGGTGGCCTTCGAGCCCTGGTCCAGGCCTGCCAGCCACTAGTAGGCAGGCACCTGGTACCCTTTGGGGCTTGTGTCCAGGGTCTCGGTGAAGGGCGGGCTCTGGTAAGTCTCGGTGCCCTCCACGCCGCTGCCCACTGGGTAACCGGGATAGGCCTGGCACGTCCCGGCGCCCAGCTGTTCGGTGGCAAAGAGAGACATGTCGGTACCCAGGCGGAACCGCTGCAGGGCCTTCACGGTGAGCGCCACCTAAGGGGGAGCCTGGGGTTAGCCAGGATCGACCCTGTGCCGGCCCCGCCCCTGGCCCAGCCGACCACACTCACCCAGCTGAGGATGGAGAAGAAGCTGAAGGCAATGGCGGCCCGCGCCGCGTCTCCCGCTTGCGTCGTGCCCGGCCCGGGCGCCGTGCGCTGCCACTGGTTGGTGAGGAAGCAGAAGCCCACGAACCACAGGAAGGACCAGAGCCCTGTATGAGCGAGCGGGCGGGTGGGTGGGTCAGGAGGCGCGGCAGCGGAAGCAGCACCCACCCGGCCCAACCACGCTGGGAAGGGGCGTCCCGCCGCATGAGGGCCCCGCCCATCGCTGGGCTGCGCCGCACTGCGGCCAGAGCAAGCCCCACTCGCCCGCTCCTGGCCCGCTCCACTCACCTGACAATCACAACGCCCTCCCTCCGGCCTGGCCCCGCCCCTCCCGGACCGGCCCCCGCCCCCTCGCGAAGCCCCTTACCTGCCAGGCCCCGCCCCCTCGCTACCCGGCCACGCCCACCTGAGAAGCCCAGGTCGAGCAGCACCGCGCGGCGGCGGTCGCGGACGCTGCTGATCTGCTGGAAGCGCATGTCGAGCAGTAGGAAGGCGGCACAGGCGAGGAAGGCCCCGAGGCCAAGCGCGACGCCGAAGCGGCAGGCGCCTGCGTTCCCGTTGAAGACGCAGCGCAGCTCGGGGCCGCTGTCGGAGTTCACGTACCCCTCGTTGATAATGGGCCCAAAGACGGCGATGGAGAACACCTGCAAGGCGGGGGGCAGTGCTCAGCGCCCCGCGGTGGCCCTTCTCCCAGCCGAGGCCTGTTGCCCACCGCGAGGGCCCATGCCCTCGGGCCTGTCCCTGCGTTCCTCTGCAGCACAGGGCCCATCTCTGGGGGTGGTCTTCGGGCACGCCTCCCTTCATACCTCCTTCAGGTATTTAGTGATTACAGACAACGTGTACCATTTAGTGAGACTCTACTATGCCCAAGCACTGTGCTTACAACTACTACTTTACATGCGTTCCCTCATAAGAATTCTCCCAAAAAAACCACATGTGGCACTGTTCTTATTCCCTTCACAGATGGGGAAATTGGGGCTCCAGCAGGTGAAGTGACTTGTCCAGGGTCACATGGCTTTTAAGAGCTGAGGCTGACATTCAAGCTGCGTCCTCCGCACCTCACAGGGCCCGTGGTGTCAGCCCACGCTAGAGTGTGGGAACGAACAAGAGCCTTCACCTGAACCAGTGATTCCCAGGATTGAGCCAGTAGGGCTAGGGTAAGGAGGTGTGGAGCCAGGAAAGAGGGGCTGGAGGGTAGAGGGGCAGTGGAGGGACAGCCAGGCCCTGTGTGGAACCCGCCCTCAGCATTTGGGAAATGTGCAGCCCTGTTTCCTAGCATGCCAACTGTATTAACAGGCAAAGCTCATGGGGTGTTGGGGAAAGAAAAATAATGCCCACCCAGTGTCCTGCACTTGGTGGGCACTTAAAGGATGACGGTCCCACATGACTATACGTGTTTGGGCTCAAAAGGTGACACCAATGACCTCTGGGGTTCAGTCAAACGTCAGCACCCTGGGCCTGGTAGGGCTGGAAGGCAGGTAGGAGATGAACCACGGTCATTTTAAACCAGATGCTGCTCTTTTAGCTCTGGGCAGCCTTATATTTCTAAAAAAGACCCTCCAGTTTCAATTTTTTCTCCTTTCCTGTCCAGGTTCCTAGAGACCGAGGGAGGAGGGAAACCAAGGCGCAGGACATGGACATGTCCCCCTAGAGTGGTCCACAAGTTGGACCAGAGCTGGGACCGTTCAAGAACGTAGGGTTCCTACTCCCGGGGCTGGCCAGTCACTCCACCAGGAAAGCTGGTGCACCACCCTCGTCAAGGACGGCTGACTAGGTGCAGCCGGTATCAGCCGCGACCGGCTGGACAAAACCCCAAACTCAGCACCCCACCTCCCATCTCCACTGCCTGGAGGGGTGGGAGGAGCACTGGGCCTAGGGATGCCCCGTACAGTAGGCTAGGCTGTCCCCAAATCTGTCCCTCTCACACCACCTCCAGGAAGCCCTCTCAGTGCAGAGGCCCTTCCGGCTGCCCCACCCAGGGTGATCCCAGAGCATCCCCCCAACTCACAGTTGCAACTGGGGAGCCTGGGAAGGACCAGCTCCCTTCGAAGGAGCCTGGAGGCTGTGTGTGTGTGAGAAGCAGGGGGAGGCTCTGCCTGATCCTTTCGGCTCCCGTAGCCCCCTCCTCGCGCTGAGGCTGAGTGCCCAAGCCCCTCCGCGAATCCCGGCTCCACCCCTGTGCCCGCTTCCAGGTCGTGAGAACAGGAAAAAGAGAGCAATGGCTGAACAAGGGGATTGAGTTACACCTAAGGAGGAATTGGGGGATGGGGGGCGGCGGGCGCTGACCTCTCAAGGTCCCCGGCTGTCGCCGCCAGCCCCTCCCCCGCCCGCAGGTGGGCGCGCCCAGCCGGGTGACGTCACCCTAACCTGCGGCCGGCGGGGGAGGGGCCGGCAAAGAGAGGATGGGGGCGAGGGGCGAGGGGCGAGGGGCTGCGGGGAGGGACGAGGGAGGCGAGGCGGGATCGGGTACTGGGGCGGGGGCTGGGGCTAGGGCTAGGGCTAGGGCCGGGGCCGGGGCCACTCACCCAGGACGCGACCCGCAACAGGGTCTGAGGCCGGCGCGCGAAGCTCACGGGGTCCAGAGCGGCCCCCGCGCGACCCGCGCCGAACGAGGCTCCCTCCATGGCTGGCCCGGGCGGGCCGCGCGCCCCCGGCGCCCTCTGTCGGTCTGTCCGTCCGCCGGCCCC